AACAGGCGCGATGTATCCACGGGTGACAGTAAAAAGCCTCTTGCAGTGTGTGTGGTCCTATAATTAGTCATGGGGTATATTGTCTTGCTGCCAGGACAGATGCTCTCGGGTGTGTTTGCTTCACTTTCTCTTTCCTCCCACTGTAATAACGACAAACATGCACGCTCGGAAAGTGTCATTTGTCTCAACAGGGCGCAACAGCACAGTAATTTGTTGTTGGCTATGACTATTTCTACTCTATAATGCTGACTGTTCTACTCCATCAGCAAACCTTTACTACTTCTCTGTTGTCAGCCTCAGACTCTGCTTCTGTCCACTGTTTCTAATCTCTGTTAGATCAGCTGAAAAACAGGACTCCAGACAAACGTTTAGCTGCAGCCGCGACAAACCTGGAGGCAAAAATACTTTTTTTTTTTTATACTAGTTTTAGGGATTTGCAGGTACAAACCTTTATACACATTTAAAAATATATAAATAATTAGAATTCTGGCTTACAGGATAAAAAAATGTCCATTGCTAAAGGAAGCACTTTTAACAATGCAAATTGCCAATCTGTTTAATCTAAATAAATTCACATCCATCTTTTATGACAAAAGACATGAGATCTCAGGAAAGTTTCCTGTAAAACATGTAGATATGGACCAAGAATGAAAAAGATGGAAGAAGTAAAGGGAAGTGATGAGGATAACACACAGATCACTGAACTGCCACAGGTATCAGATGGATCTAATCTCTGTCCAGACACCAGCCAGAGGAAAGCAGTGGGAGATGGGTGGGGGTAGGTAAGGCTGGTTACCCAGACAACTACAAAGCCTGCATACTATTTGATATTCCCAATATGTTGTTTTGAAGCCTACATTTACTGGGCAAAGAGGCATATCTTTGTACCGGTTAGGTTTTACCACCTTACTCAAATTGATTTAAATAATATAAATAAGCAACTATCATCCAGTTGAACAATTAAAACAAAGAGGATGGACTGGATGGGCAGACTTTCATCTATTCTATCATTTTCAATGTCTGTATAGTTATGAAAAACTCCTTGCAGCAATTACATATACAGAAATGGAGGCATTTCAAAGTGTACCAATTGTTCTGCTGACCAGAATCTAAAATCAAATGCCTGATTGATGATTGGCTCATCCAACTCTATGTTTTTCTTCCAGACCCCATCTCAACCAAAAATATTATTTAGCAAAAAAGGATTTTCAACTGATTTTGACGCTTTGTACCAAAAAAGAAAAAGACAAAACAAACAGAAAAAAACTTTTTGATAACAGTTTTGTACAGTAATTTTTAAACCTTACAAATTTTCATGTATTTTGGTGTTTGCTGTCTGGTATTATTTATGTATATATATATATATATATATATATATATATATATATATATATATATATATATATATTTTTTTTTTTTTTTTTTTTTTTTCAACTGTGTCTTGTCTGGCAATGTGGCAATAATAATTGTCTTGATGCCAAAAAGAGCCCAACAGATTTTACTTTCACAAGTGGAGCAGTACGGCTATCCCCATAGTGTTCTGAATGATTTATGCATATAAATAGCTTTATTATAATTATGCAGGGAGTTTTACAGATTATATGGACACTGCAATGTAAGTAGAACAGGAAAGGAAAAAACTGAAAAAAAAGAGAAAAGATAAAAGAAGAGGAGATAAAAGGGAGATAAGGATAACATCTTCACTCTGCTTCATCACCTGCAAAGAGATGTAAAAAGAACAGCACAACCAACGGACATGGTACAAGACATTCAATAAAGTAACACCTTGGTACTATCGCTGAAGTATAAGTAGTATTATTTAATCTGACATGTATATTGTAGTAGCTGAAGATAAGAATATGGGCTTTCTGTATGGAAGTGAATCTCTAAATACCGGGAATCAAGCACCTGTAGTTGTTTGTAAGAGTGCACTTGTCATGTAAAGTCTATCCAAAGGATAAATGCTCAATAGTGGTTGTGAAGAGCCGAAGAGGCGCCCCCCCCACACACTGAGTCCAGCGCCGGGAGACCAAAAGGGACCCCAAGAGCAAAGGCACCAAGGAGGGGGCAAACCCAGGCAATCCAACCCCCCACCAAGGGAGGAGGAGAAACGGCCCAGAGGAGGTCCCCCAGCCACCGCAATGCTGGAGTGCCCGGGAGCCAGTAGAGCCCGGGACAAGTCCGAAGGCTCTGCTGGCAGCCAGCCACCCCAAAGTGAATCTGGCCATGGGCCCCAGGGATCCGAGGCCCCTGACAAAAAAAAAAAAAAAAAAAAAGCCTAAACAAAACCTCCCACCCTATTGCCCCCACTCACACCACACAGTCTCTGTGAAGATGTCTGGTATTAGTATAAATAAAGATACAATCTGTCATCTTCATCTGTCTTACTTTTTCTTGATCTTTGTCACATTAAATTTCAGATTTTTACTAAAGAAGTTATTCGCTCAACTTTGATGTAACTTTCAGGCTGTAAATTCAAATTGTATTATTGGTCTTGACAGTAGTTGAAATTTAATTCACATTAAATTTTGTCCTATTGGAAATGAAACCAAGTAATATTAACATGTAGTCAATTTTTTAAGGCTTGTAGGTGAAGAAAAATGTGGTCTAACTCAGCCTATCCCGTAATGCATCACGCTGGCATACCTATAATAAGCTAAGCTGGCCTTCCAGATCACTATTAAGTTTCTGCCTTGTTCGAGCTTCTCTGTTGCATGTTAATAATGTTGCAGCTGCAGCTCTTGTCTGCATGTTAAACTAAGTCAATTTTTTTTCCCTCTCTAAGCCAAGGTAGTGATGAGTTGTTGTTGTTTATCTATTTGTCTCTAAGTAACATGGGGGGAAAAAAATAAAACTTTGCAACTACTTTAATGAATAGATTTATTTGCAAGGGAAGGTTTGAATACAGTTAAAGCCAGAATTATTAATGATAACAGTGGAGCTAGGTCTAAGGTATATTTGTTTATGTTACTAATAAGTTTCTTTTGATTAAAATTAACATTTGGATTATTAGCACTGCTTTTCTCAACTTGGCTCTTGTCAGATTCCTTTTCAAGAGTCAAGTTGAAGGGGATAAATAGCTGGGAGTGGAGGGAGGTAAAGATTAGGGTGATAGCAAGGAGGCCTCCTAATCTGAAAGACTTTGAGCTCCAAATATAAACCACCTTGAATAACTATGAAAACATGTAAAAATCTGGCCAGAAATTATAACAAGTGTTTGATTCCTCTAACAGCTATAAAGACTTTTTTTTTGTCAGATTATCAAGAATTTTAAAAGGGTTCTGAGGTGCCATTTATTTGAAAAATGGGACCAAAAAATACATTGGATTCTAAATCCTCTTTGAATCAATTTGACTGTATGATGTGGTTTAACTGTAAAGTGACTTGATATGACATGTGTTGTGAATTGGCGCTATTTAAATAAACTGAATTGAACTGAATTTTCATATGGGCGTATGAGATAGGCCTCCCTCATTTCCTCTCAAACATAAGTTTTGTCATGTTGGTTGTTCAAGGCGTCTAACATGCAGAAACACTCGTGAGACTGGGAAAAAGTTCAAAAGTTTATTTACAAAATATACAATGAGTATGAACTGGTCCTTGGTTCGGCAGATAGGTCACGAGGGGAACACCACTGAGGAGGACAGAGAGGTTAGTGTTGATCCAGGTTAATTGCAGGTTTTCTGATGTTGGAGTTAATACCTGCTCAAGGGTGGAACGGAGCTGCAGGCGGGGAACCTTGAGGGTCCAGAGGCTAGTCGGCAGGCAGAGGGCTGAGGGCAGAGGCAGAGGCTTAACTGAGTGCAGGCAGGCAGATTCCAGACAGAGATAATTCTCCAGGATTTCAGGTCTTCAGACAGGACTCAATCTTTACTGGCAAACACTCTGGCAGGGAAGTGTTAGCCTCCTCCTCCTTAAATAGGGCTTCCTGATGAGCAGATGGAAGACAGGTGTTGCAGTCAGCTCATGCCCCCAGGAGATCTCGTGCGATCTGGTGGAGAAAGTGGACCAAGCCTCCAGATCCCAACAAGCTTTACAGTTTAAAAAAAACTAATTTGGATAACCAATAGTTATGGGCTTAACCTTGGTGTACCTTTAACTTCCAAGTAATATGGATGCTTATTTTGACATTCTCAAGAGAGGAATACACAATTTCAAATATCTCATTAATTAAAAATAAAAGCAAGCAGCAGTTGTTGTTTTTTTCCTGTGCCCTTGTTGTACAAAAAGAACTGTGACACCTTCTGTAAACAGGGTGAATTTTATGGATAAAAAGTTCAATGGAAGAAGAAGAAAGTGTGGCAGAAAATATTGAGAATGTTATAACTAATTAAGATTAAAGGAATTCATGAAAAGCTATTTGTGTTGTAATAAACAAAAGAAAAACAACACAGTCATCAAAGTTTGATTTAATGATAAGGAGAATATGTTATTTATTTAGCATCTATGATTGAGAAATGCACACCTGTAAACATCAGTAAAGCTTTTCAGCTTTTTGAAGTACATTTTGTAAATGAATGCAGCTTATTATATTTTGAAATAATGTACAGTACCATGCAAACTTTTGAAGAAACACCAAAGAACTTTTCTTTTCCCCATTCATCAATTTCTGCACCTTCATTTGTTTTCTAAAGAAACAGTTGAATAATTCATGCTTTAATTACGAGTCAATAACTTCAGCAGCCATCTTTAGGCTGATGGATCAGGGTCCCCAATGTTTTTTGTCAGCCACTGAATTGATAATCACAAAAAAGCTATTAGGCGTGCTCGCTGATCGACAGACCCACTGTAGGGGGTGAAACAACTATTTGTTTATTAGCTCTAGACTTTTTTTCTCTCTACCAATAACATTCAATTAAAAATGAAATAAAGGATGTTTCCTTGACCTTTTAAATTTCTTTGTCTCTGCAGAGTTTAATTAACTATATATGTTTTAATTTTTTTCTTGCTTTGAATTCATTAGACCATATTATGAATAATAATATACTTTTTTTCTGCAGACGATGAGCAGTCGTTTTTTCCCCCACGACATCATCACCACCGATGCCGTGCTCAGTCTGGATGAGGACTCTGTTCTCTCAACCAATGAGGTGAGGATGTCATTCTGATGGCATATGATGACACCAAAAACAAACATCCCATATCATCCAGATTCAAAGATACTGCTTTAACATGTATAACAGATAATGTAAATCTCTTGAATCTCATAAAAGACGACGAAAACTTTAAAATAAAAGTCCCTGTTAGTGCAAACACTTAGGGCCTGATCCTGGTAAGGTTTACATGTCTTGAAAAGTTGCAAACATTGTTTGTACACAGAACAAATCTTCAAATGCGGTGCAAAGTGATTTGTTTTACAATTTTGCATGCAATGGGGCAACAGTGGTGTAGGATGCAGAAGTTAGGTTCAAACCCCGCTGCATCCATCTCTGTCGAATCCTTGCATCACCTATTGATGGCGGTTAGAGGGCCTGGTGGGTCCTGTGTACAGCAGCATTGGTTCTATCAGTGTGCCAGAGGGCAGCTGGTGCTACAATGTAGTTTGTCACCATCAGTGTGGAGGAATGACTGAATGTAATGTAAGGTGCTTAAAATTCCCCTGACTTTAAACATTTCTGTATAGGTAAAAAAGATATGTATTTTTACTGTTTTTCAAGGCTGCACAAAACTGTTTTAAACTAAATTTCTTTTTGTGTTCACTTGTGCATACAAAATGACAAAATAAAATCTGTCTAAACACTTACCATGCTCAAACTTGGGGAAAAAAGCTTTTCTTGTGATTCTTGATTTTTTTTTTTTTGGTAAATGATTCGCAGCCCCAGTTTTAACCAGTTGAAGATATATTATTCATCACAAGCTCTGCTGGTTATAAAGAGCATCGCAGTAAGCTAATCAAGTCATGATAAAAGCATGAATTCAAATCTTAAAATGATGCTGTAAAAAATGCTGTGAAATGATTAAAGCTGGACTTGACTGATTCAGTTTTTGGACTTTCTCCACTTTATTTTTATAGATTTTTTACAGGTATACAACAAGAACATGACAATGATTAATGTCCTTTAGTGAGTCCTTTAGCATTTGTCACAAAAAAAAATAAAAGCATTAGACAAACTATAAATAATATTATATAAAATAATTTGTTCATTTACACTTTGGACATACTGAAAGTAAAAAAAAAACACACTTTATGTAGTTTCAACCAGTCAAATAGAAGTGTCCACACCTTTATTCATAACAAATGGGGTAAAAAAGAACAAAAAAAAGAGGTTGAGATAGGGGTTCTTTATGGCTTCAGTTGTTCTAAAATGGGTTTCCAAATTTTGTAATATTTTTCAGGATAGTTTATTAAAGCTACAGTGTGTAATAATTACCGGGATATACAGTA